GAAAGTCCTCCCCCTACTTCCCCTCCCAATGGGACAGAAGAGAGAACTTAGTTACAGGAGAACTCTTCTCCTGGTGGTTGCATCCCCTGGACTTGCCGTTGTTAGTTGTCATTGAGTTGACTGCAACTCATGGTGACCCCACATACAACAGAGCAAGATGTTGCCCGGCCCTGCATGATCTTCCCAATTGTTGGTGTGCTGAAGTTCATTGTTATGGTCACGTGTATTTTGAGTGCCTTCTGACCGAGGAGGCTCATCTTTCAGAGCTATTTTGGACAATATTCTGTTGTGATCCATATGGTTTTCATTGGCCAATTTTTGGAAGTAAAACGCCAGGCTTTTCTTCCTTGTCTGTTTGAGTCTTGAAGCTAGGTTGAAACCTGTCCACCATGGGTGACCCTGCTGGTCTTTGAAATACCAGCGCCATAGCTTCCAGCATCATAGGAACATGTGAGCCATCACAGTACCACAAACTGACAGACGGGTGGTAGCCTTTGGACTTAACTCTGTTTAATAAGAATGTAGTCAATATTTAGGAGACAGAACTGAGTACCCCTGAAATTGTTTCTTTTCCTTTGAAATTATTTGTGAAAACCAGGTAAGTGTGCTTCCTGCATTCCTCCCCAAATGTAAATTTTTATAGTATCAGGTAGAAATGCCAGCATTGTAGTAGAAATAGCTTACCAATAAATTAGCAAAATGTATGGATTAGGAGGGGAAAAAAACCCCACTTGCATGCAACAAATGAAGATTTTATTTTAGACTTTGAAAAGCATGTGTAGAAGAAATCCTGACAGTATTCTTAAAAAAGAAAATACGACTGGAAGACATTCTATAACCACATTGAGGGAGTTCTAAGAAGTTCACTTACCAACATCTTTGTGCTGCAAAGAGAAATTTCCATAGCTTCCCTTCAACCACATAAAATGAAAAAATAGCTTTTTAAGAAACATACATAAAAGTGTAATGGGACCCTTCCATGGAGATTTGAGGTTTTAAATTATGTTAGGGGAAAGTAATGCATTTTCTACTGATATATTCACTCTTTTTTTTTTCCAACACAGATTTCCTTTTTAATTTTTAAATTACAAGTTATTAAAATGCTACATACTTCTCAATTTTTCTCAGTTTAAAATATTGGAATAAATCACATTAGTTATAGGGATTTATTAATCTCAATTTCAGACCAAATGTTGGAAAATATTAGTGCTGCTTTTCCCTATCCTTACATATACTTCTTGAGAAAGTTATAGGAAAAAAAAATCATGATTATAATATGCAGCTATCAGTGGAAATAAGAACTTGTAGAAGAATATTTGTCTCTTGAACTCCATTAGAGACTTCAAAGGGACCAAAGATATCAGATCTCTGGTTCGCTTTATTCCTTTATATTAACCACTGCATGTATTGTAGCTTGTTGCTGTGGAGTCAGCCCCCAACTCATGGCCACCCCATGCACAATGGAATTGGATCTTGTGACTCATATGGTTTTCATTGGTTGATTTTCTAAAGTAGATCACCAGGCCTTTCTTCCTAGTCTGTCTTAGTCTGGAAGCTCTGCTGAAACTTGTTTAGCATCATAGTAACACACAAGCCTCCACTGACAGACAAGTGGTGGCTGTGCTGGAGGTGCATCGGTCGGGAATCAAACCCAGGTCTCCGGAATGGAAGGTGACAGTTCTACCACTGAACCCCACTGCATGTATTGGGCTGCTAAGCTAAGGGATAGTGCTAAAGCAAGAGTCTTCACTAAATTCCTGTCTGTAATGTTGGCCGTACTGATAGGGAAGACCCAGCAGGTACCACTTCTGTTCCAGTCACATTCTGGAATGTCTGAATGACACTCTGTCCTAGAACCTTTGAGGAACTATCTTGCTATTGCCCTAGACTATGGCTGTGGAAGACAGCACTGTATCTTCTGTATCCTCCAGTAGAATATTTCAAGGTCTTATAGTTAAAACCTGTCCTAAAGAATTTCCAAATTCAGTGATCTAAGAAAGTTGCTGCATGAACAACATCATAAGCTGAATTTTGCTTTTAGGAAGGACTCATTTCTTCTCTTTTAGGATCTTCATGGTGTTTTGCCTTGGACAAAGTTATTGCTGTCTTCAAAGTTATGCAAACAAGAAAAGTAAGGCAGGGGATTAAAAAAAGTTTTATCACAAAAATGTACATATAGCTCGTGGGAGAGTGCATGTTTTGAATAAAATTCTGCTCTTAGCTCTTCAGCTATAACTGTATGTAGAGTATTCAGTTTCTCCCTTAAAGTGACATACCATTCACTGAGTTTCAAGTCAGTGTGTTCACGGAGGCCCAATCAAAACCCAAATCTGTTGCCCATAAGTTAATTCTGACTCATGGCGACCCCATGTGTTACAGAGTAGAACTGCTCCATGTGATGGAAAGTGTATTTTTTTCATCCAGTATCACCAGATTTTCTCCTTCTGGACTGATTCAGTTACAAAATTGCTTTTTCTAAATTCATGAGTTTTACTTAGCCCAGCTTATTTATAGTAAAAGATTTGTGCCCTGTATCATTATTTCCCTTTCATTAAAAAAAATCTAATGTTTCATCTTTATAAACTGAAGGCTTCTCCTGTTCATTCTTCCCTATGAAGAGATACCTTTGATTTGAAAGAAGTGTTATTGGACACTGAACAACCTATCTTATAAAGACATGTTCTTTTCTTCTAATCCCGTTACCGCTGAGTCAATTAATTAATTTTATTTAAAGGAACCCTGGTGGCACATTGGTTAAGTGCTCAGCTGCTAACCGAAAGGTCGATGGTTCGAACCCACCAGCTGCTCCACGGAAGACAGATATGGCAGTCTGCTTCTGTAAAGATTTGCAGCCTTTGAAACCCTATGGGGCAGTCTTACTCAGCCCTCCAGGGTCACTATGAGTTGGAATTGACTGGATGTCAGTAGTTTGGTTTAGGTTTTGGGTGTTGCTTTACCCACACTGGCCCACCGTTCACATGCATGCACAAAAGTTAAATGAAAGCGAGACAGTAAAATGGAAAACAGGGCCTATGGGAAAAGGCAAGAGAAATGAGTGGTCTCTTCCAGTGGAGGAAAGGAGGGTAATCCACAGAAGGTGGTGAACAGAGTCTCTTATTTTTGTCTCTTCGAGATAGATCTCTTGGGGCTAATTGAAGATGGATCAGTTTAAAGCTTCACTTCAAGAAGATTTTGTTTCACTGTAAGGATTATGCAAACCCTATGCAAAGGGAATTGTGGGATCATTGTTTTTGGAATATGATTTTGGATGCTTTCTGAGATACAGGACTAGTCGTCCCCTTGCTGGGACCCCTAGACCTGGGATTCTGTTGCCTTAATTGCCTTTGAGTGAGAGTGTTGCCTTGTGGTGGCACAAGAGCCTATAGTCAGGCATGGGTTTCATTTCTGCCCTGTCCTCTTGCATTTATTTGTACACTTTAATCTCCATAAGCTTCAAACTTCTTAAAATAAAACAGAGATATTATGGAAATTTTGTGCAATGGTGAGTCTCTGCATTTAAATGCTTTGTAAGAAGGTGGTATTTTCTGCAGGCTGTTCACCCGAGCAATAGTTAGATTTCTTCTGCAGTTGTGTTTAAGCCCTAATCATATGAAGTCAAGAAAATCACTTCCTCCCTCCTGTGGCAGCTGTCCAGCCGCAAAATTAATTATCCACTTACATCCATCAACAGGGTGGTGTAAGGGTCAGTGAGCTGGAGTTCGTGAAATACTTCACCATGCTTGTCTGACCGGTGTTCTGTTATCACAGTTAAAAAAAAAAAAATGTCTTATTCTCGAGGATTACTTACAAAATTGAACTGACATGTTATAAAATTCTTGCATTTCAGTCTTTTCTTTCCTTTTGACACTTCTCATATATGAAATGTTAGTTTAGAGAAGAAATCAAAGGACAGGTAATGGAGATGGTTACTTGGAGAATCATTTACTGTTCATTCATTCATCATGGAGTATGTGCCAAGCCCTGTGTTGGGTGCTAGGAATGTAAAGATGAGTAACTTGCTGTCTTCAAAACTCATTGCCATTGAGTCAATTCTGACTCATAGCAACCCTATAGGACACAGTAGAACTGCCCCATAGGGTTTCCAAGGAGTGGCTGGTGGATTTGAACTGCCAACGTTTTGGTTAGCAGCCAAGTGCTTAACCACTGTACCACCAGGGCTCCTTTCTCTCTTCAAAGCACTCACAATTCAAAGTAGGTGACTAACGATTACACAGTAGGAGGATGTGTAAAGCACAAGGGAGCAGACAGGAGGGAGTAATTATTTCTAATAGGAGCAGAGCTTTCTTGAGAGGGAACACTATGAAAAAGACATAGGAATCTCAAAACACACTGAAAGAATTTGATTTGAATTCATTTAGTTTTTTTCTATATTAGCCAATGTTTATTTAAAATCACTCATGAAACTTCCATTTGTAAACACATGTTTAGCTACTCTGTAGGAAGAATTAGACATTTTTCTATGTGCTCGCATATAATTTCTATCTTCCTTTCTCCTCCTCTCCCTCCCTCCATTCTCTCCCTTCCTTTTCCAGAAATCCCCTTAGGGACAAGGTGTAATATCGCTCTTCCTTTTTCTCTTCCCTTCACCATGTCCTAGTGACTTTTCATTTTCTTAGAGCTGCGAATCCTGTTGATTCTCAATCAATTTTATTACTTTCAACTTTCACCAAATCTCCAGTAAAGCACAACTATGGTCTATCACATATGATTGTTATTTAGAAGGTAAGTAATTTTTATCAGAGTTTTGAAAAGATAATCTGGTGTCCCTCCCTCCCTTCCTTCCTTTTTTCAGATGTTGTCATTGGGTGTCATATAATATCTCAACCACTTTGAGTTGAGGTCACAGACTTCTGGACAGCTCTCGAGTAGTAGATGTCCCAAGAAACAAACATTGGACTTCAAGTTCTTCTTTCAGCTATAGGTTTCAAGCCAGTCCTCCCTGCATTTTAACTTCTTTCCAATTTGCCTGTTGATTTTAGGTAATGGGACTCCTGACCAACCACGGCGGGGTACCTCATCAGCCCCAGACCGATTATGCGCTCTCCCCCCTCACAGGGGGCCTGGAACCTACCACCACGGTGTCGGCCAGCTGCAGTCAGAGACTAGATCATATGAAGAGCTTGGACAGTCTTCCAACATCTCAGTCCTATTGTCCACCCACCTATAGCACCACGGGCTACAGTATGGACCCCGTCACAGGCTACCAATATGGGCAGTATGGACAAAGTAAGCCTTGGACTTTCTAGGAATGATTACTCCTGGAAGGAAGGATGACAACTGAATTTCAACTCTTCCTTAAGAAAGGAAAGTTAGAGGCATGATTAAGCCTTTTATCCCAGTATCGATTTTGTGGCAAGGCCAGCTGATTGTTCCAGCAAGGGCTCCCTTGTACAATTATTTTCTTAACTGATGTCAACAACATCTTGAGGTTATTAATTGCTGAGACGTGAAACCTGATTGCCACTAGGTAAAACGCAAGGGTTGGCTAAAATGAAATAACCCCCGGCATTAGAAACACATGTTCTTAATGAGGTCAGCTTGAGGATCATATGGGGTATAATCCCAGGGACACAGAGTTGTGTCAAACTTGTCTCAGGAATAAAAATATTAGTCCCAATCCTTTGATACCACGGTATTAAATATGACATTGTCAGCCTGTAGCTGATATTGCCCCTTGCTGTGAATCGCCCAGCCTGACTTAAAAAGCTGTGTTTGTTTCCTTACAGGTGCCTTTCATTATCTCAAGCCAGATATTGCGTAAGTGAACTGTCCACTTGGAGCTATAGCTGGCCCTGTCTCTGGTCTCCACAACCTAGACATGAAGAATCTTCTCAGAACAAAATGTCTCCCTTCTGGGGGGCAGTCCCTACAGGAGAGTGATTGATTTTCTTCTCCAGTGGTTGGTTTCAGATTCTTTTGAACATGTTGGACAAAAGTAATTGAGAAGAGGAAGACCTGGAGCAATAAGAGACAAAAGCAGCTTTTTAAGGCAATGGTTTAACATGGCTACGTATCAGAATATCCCGTCCTTAGTGCTGATGATCAAGGAGCTAAAACATTCCATTGTGTGTGTGTGTGTCTGTGTGTGTGTCTGTGTGTCTGTCTGACTGAGATTCACCTGGACTGGTTTGGGCAAGCAGCATGTCCTAAAATATAATAGGAGAATCCTATAAAGTATAACTTTTTTTGATGTCAAATGCTGACACTTCTACAGAGTTAAAACTTCCTTAATGAAGCAGGAGTGGAGGACTCCTTTGCTTTCACACACTGGAAATGGATTTAAAAATAAATGCCACCATTTTTAGGAAGCAAGGCTAGATGTAAAGGACTTGCCAAATAAATTATTTGTTATCTTGTCCTCATTCGTAATCCAGTTGCCAATAAATGTCATGGACACATCTTGCTCACAGGGTATGGGATAACAGGAAGAACAGCTGGTTTTCTTTTTTTGATGTGGGGCGAGGTGTCTGATGCTTTCCCAGTTCAGATTCATTTGGAAGCCAACCTAGAGGATGGGAAGAGCATGGTGGAGAAGTGCTGTGCTTTCCCACAACTGCTTATCAGTGTGCAATACTTTGTACCTCACGGATGCTCTGGCAATGGCCAAGGCGTTGGAAACAGAATCCTAACTGTATTTTTGCAGGTGCTTTTCTTTTTGCAGCCTGATAGTCATGGTGGTAGAATGCAGTGATGTTTACCATTTGCTAGACAACCAACACACGGCTTGCTCCTTTTGACTAGAGACCATGTCAGATAACAATGCTTTTAAAATGATCACGTTTACATTCTTTTCTTTTCTATGAAAGGCAGGGCAAGAACAGAAATGTCCATGTGGCTCTCATGTACTTTTAAATTATACAACGATATCCAATATTAAAAGACTATAGGAACTGAGGTTTACATACGTTTGTGTGGTGACATTTTAGAATGTCAATAAATTTGTTCTTTGAAATGTTAAGAGGAACAAGAAGGTGGGAGGCAGTGTTATTTATTTCTCTCTATTCTTGGAACAATGAATGAGGTAGGCACAAATACATTCCTTATAGAGTTAAGAACTATGACGTAGTGAGTTAGTGAGACTAGACATAGTACCGAGTTTAGTGCGTACATTGGTCTTAGAGGGCAATGGAACAAAAGAAGTACTATCTTTGTGTTGCAGCCTCAACCAACAATAGTGTGTTGTAAAAATGTCTTTCATGTAAAAAGTGCAGTAAATATTTACTATTTATAATGAATAAACAGTTATGAAAACTTGCCCAACGCTGCTTTTTTGGGGGGAACTGGTGAATGTATTATTCATAAAGAACTTGGAAGTGGGAACTCAACAAAACATATACTTCACTTCTAATCGTACTTTGTACTAGAATATAACATGGACAAGTGACGTTGCACAGCTCACCATTGTATTCTCAAAGAAGCTTGGTTGAACAAGCTTTTAAGGGTTGACATTTGTATTTTCATAGGTGGGAGTCTTTGGGTGGTAGAAATGCTTAATGAGCTCGCTTGCCTGCTAGCCAGAAGGTTGGTGGTTCAAGTCCACCTGGAGGCACCTCAGAAGAAAGGCCTGATGATCCACTTCCAAAACATCAGCCATTGAAAATCCTATGAAGCATAGTTCTACTGTGACAAACATGGGGTCGCCATGAGTTGGAATCGACTTGATGGCAGTTGGTTTAGATGTGGTATCTAGAAAAAACCCTTGAGTCCATGTTTCGTCCTCTCTCCTGGGTTCTCAAATTCCTTTACTGTCCTTTGGAAGCGTATTTTTATTCCCAGAGTGCCAGACTCCATCCTTATCTCCAGCAGTCTTTTCCACTGAAATTTTTATTCAAAGCTCTCATATTTTGTTGCTTAATTTATTTTACTGCTTTCTTCACTCTTCATGAAAAATATTACTATTTCATTCATCCTTTCATTCTTCCTTCCAACACTTATTTAATGAGGTCTAAATGTGCCAGGCACAGTGCTTGGTGCTGGCGTTATAGCAGTGTTGATAATATAGCAGGTAAGGCAGATGAGTAAATGAATAGTTACAACAAAGTATGAGAACTGTTGTTATAGGGGAAATAATCACAATACGCTTTGAAGCTCTTGTATTATTTATTCTTCTCAATGTCTGTATGAGGCAGGTGATGTCATTAGAATTCTTTTATAACTGAGGAAACTGAGGCACAAGGAGGTGAGGTTGTGAGAGCACCTAGGTACTAGTTTCCCTGGGTGTAGCTATAACAAATTACCACAAAGTCAGTGGCTTAAAACAATAGACATTTATTCTCTCATTCTAGGGGCTGGAAGTCTGAAATTAAGGTGTCAGCAGGACCATGCTTCCTCTGAAGTTTCTGGAGAAGAATCCTTCCTTGCCTCTTAAGCTTGTGCTGGTGTCAGCAATCCTTGGCGTTCCATGCCTTGTAGGGGCATCACTCCAAACTCTGCTTCTGCCTTCACAGGGTCTTCTCCTCTGTGTGTCTGTGTCCAAATTTCTCTCACAAGGACACAGATCATTGGATTAGGGGCCATCCTAATCCAGTATAACTTCATCTTAACTTGATTACATCTACAAGGACCCGATTTCCAAATAAGGTCACATTCATAGGTTCCGAGTGAACATGAATTTTGGGGGGATGCTACAAAACCCAGAAAACAAAGCTAGCATGTAGCAGAGTTGGGATTTGAACCCAGGCCTGATAATCCCAGTACCTATGTGCTTAAATTTAACAGCCTCCTGCTTCCCCAAGACCAAAAGTATCTAAAGGAGTGCTGTCCAATTTGGTAGCCACTAGCTATGTATTGGAGTCCTGGTGGCACAGTGGTTAAAACCTATGGCTGCTAACCAAAAGATTGGCAGTTCCAATGGCTGCTAACCAAAACATTGGCAGTTCCAATCCACCAGCTGCTCCTTGGAAACGCTATGGGGTCATTCTACTTTGTCCTGTAGGGTTGCTATGAGTCAGAATCAACTTGATGGCCATGGTTTTATTTATTTATTTACTTTTGAGCTATGTATTGCTATTTTAAAGTAATTAAAATGGGATGAAATGAAAAAGTTTCTTAGTTGCACGAGGAGAAACAGTATTGGGCAGTGCAGCTATATATAGTACATTCCCCTCATTGCAGAACGTTCCATTGATCAGCGCTGAATCTAAAGCCTGTGAGTTCGTTTTCTAAAACCCCCAAGGGCTGCAAGTGCAGTAGGAAAATTTCGCAAATTCTGACCGTGCCTTAGCTTTTTTCACTGCACACATTCATCCTTCCAGTCAAATATGTTGCCCTTTTGCCGACATGAAGAGGAGAGGAAGCTAATACTTAATTGAACACTTACTTTTGTTATCTTGGTGAATCCTCACAAAATCCTGTGAGGTATTACTAGTCCACATTACAGATGAGAGGACTGAGGTCCAGAGTTAAGCAACGTGGCTGAGGTCACCCTGTTAGAAACAGCAGAAGCAGGCTTTGACTTCTGCTCAGCCTAGTGGGAGGACATGCTTTTTTACTTCTCCACGTGTTTTTTTTTGTTTTCTTTCCAAATATTTTTTTTTTATTTCTATTGTGTTGAAATATCTATAGCAAAACATTTGCCATTTTAGCCATTTTTATCTGTCCAATTCAGTGACATTATAGTTACCATGTTGTGCAACCAACACTACTGTTTCCAAATTTTTTCATAACCCTGAACAGCAACTCAGTGCCCCTTAAGCAATACTTGTCTATTTCCCCCCTCCTCAAGCATCTTGCAGTACTCACTTCACTATGTCAACCTATCCTCATGCCAATCTCAAACAGGCTTTAAAAAAAAAATTTATTGTTCACTTCCCAGTAGATGAAAGAAACGCTACTGGAATGTGGATTACACAATGGAAACCTGACCTTACATAATCACTTTCCCTGCTGTCTCTTGATCTCAGAACTTGCCACGTGTGGCTCGTATCTCTTTTTAATATACTTCTTTATGCCTTTCTCTCGTATTTGTATCTCTCTGAAATCGTTGCTCTCCTCATATTTTTTCATGTTGAAAATCTCTGTAGGTCTCTTTTTTCCTGATTCTTTCTCTCTCTCTTTTACGTTCAATCAATTTCCAAGAGAATGGGCACCTGACTTCTCCCAGTCCTAACCCCAGTTAGAGTCCCTACTCTCATCCCGTGGGGCAAGCAGTCCTAAGGACCTTGAACCCTTGGCATTCGACTGCACTTTAACTTAATAGTGGAGGGCATGCCCCTTTGTTCATACAGTTGTAAGCTTTCATTTGAAAAATTAAAAAAAACCTGAAAATCAAAACTTAAACTCATTCATAGTGGATATACTAATGTCAGCTGCTGAGTCATTCCTTGGCGGTAATTTTCCTAGGAATAGATATCACATTTCACATCTGTGATGGAAACAAACATTGTTTTACACCTTTAAATAGCAAAATTTCAAAATGTATTTTCACACATGGAAATCTCAATATACGGATATTTGGGGAACATCCAAGGTCAAAAGCTGTCTTCATTACTGCTGGCACATAGAACCAGTGTAAAGGACCAGGTCACTGGCTCATGACTGTGAGTTTAGAAAGAATCTTAAATGAAATAGGGGATGGAGTAATTAAACCTTTTTGCATGAATATGGCGTGGAAGAATCAATCCTTAAACTATATGATTGAGAATTAAAATGACCACACAGGACCAGAACCAAGGTCTCTGTAGAAAGGAAATCTATCTTTTGGATGATGGACCTCAACTCTTCCGAGTGAATGAATTTTGGCTTTTAATCATGCATAGATGAGGAGAGCTGGTGTCAAACATCAAGGAACAAAAAGTTGGGAGTATTTCTGCAAAAAGCTCCACACGGGCAGCATCAGCCCAAACAAGTGCTCATTGATCTGGAAGCCAGAGTTAAATGATGTGTGAGAGAAAAGAAGAAACAGAGCTGGGCTCAGGGCTTCTTGCCAAATGTCAGTGAAACAAGCTAGTTCCATCTCCCTCACAGATCCACCCTTGACTATTGCTTACCATTTTATTCCAAATGCCTAGCACTATGTCTGACTCACAGTGCAAATAAATGAATGATGGGTGAATTTCATATACCGTCTGCATGTAATCTTCTGAGGAAGGAGCTCACCCTCAAGGGCATGTGAGTTGGGGTGAACAAGTCTGACATTTCAATAATCCCTGGGGTACTGGGGCCAGTTCTTTAGCTCATGTATAACCAAAGGCACACAGATTATCTTGTGGTTAGGCTCTCTTTGAACTGGTGCAAAGTCTTGGGACAGAGTGGGAGGCAGGGGGTCTAACTAGTCACTGAAAAGCCATCTTTCTGATGTTTCTGTTTGATGCCGAAGGCACAAGGTGGTGATTTGCTGGATTCAACACTGGGAGGATTAGAACAGAAAAGGGAAAGAGCCCACTGGCTGATTGCTTAGAGCAGAGGTTCTCGGAGTTATCTGAGGAACTAAAACAAAAGACCAGATACAAAGCCTCCCGGACCAATGGAATCACCACAGAGGTGGGTACAGGCAGGGTTAAGAAGTAAAAGCTTAGATGCCTTTGGTCAAAGCATTGATGAGATTGCCCTGACTGGGGAACTTACTGCAGACCGATGAGTTTTCTGGGGTATGCAGCAGTGGTCATGGACCTTCCCACAGCACACCTGAGGGAGAGAAGTCATGTTGCAATATGGAGACACTTTAGCGATCTCTTCCGCTCAAGTCCCATCACCACCTCTTGAGCTAGAGGGCCAGAGGCAGAGAGACAAGCAGCAGTTCATGTGATGGTATGTGAGGATGAGTATGATATTTTGTTATGATCCCATTATATTCCCAGCTAGAGGCCTACGAAGTCTCTACACACACAAATCAGTGTTGATTGGGCTTTCCCCCAAGAGGTGTGGTAACATCTTGTTCTGCAGGCTCTCCTGTGGTATTGAGGATAGTTTTAAACATGGAATGGAAAACATACTGCCTCTCAGTTCTCCCTTCTCAGCTTGTCTGGCTCCTTCCCACTCCATCAACATCATACTACTCCCAAGCCTTGAAAATGATCCCCACAATGGCTGGTTCTACACTGCTTGTAGAGGGAGGGAAATAGGCAGTGATGTTTGTTTCCTAATTAATTGATTCATTCATTGGATACTTACCGAGTTTCTACTGTATGCAGGGAGCGGGGCTTTAAAGGTAAATAAGACACAGTTCCTGCTGTCAACAGACCCATGTCAGAAGAACAAGCTGGATAAGTAAACAAATAGTTGGAACACAAAGTCATATATACGTAAAGGTTACTA